GCAATCTCTCCATGTCATTGTGAAGGATTAAGGGAATCCTGTTTATGTTGTGGAGCTCCGGTCTGAACATTTGAAGCTTTGTTCAGGTTCTTGTAAGTAGCAGAATCTAGGTCTTTCTAGTAACCTACTTAATGTTCAGGTGGCATTTCCATTACAGAAGGTGTAATAAAGCCTAAATGTTCCATAGAAAGCAGCATACAGATGAGAAAGTGAATGGTAAGCAAGAGTGTGTCTGGGTGCCTACTGTGTAGGCAAGTATTGCTCCCAGTCAGGGAGCAATGGATCACAGTACATTTTTCTTAAGGTATCATTAGCTATTTTACACGTATTTTTAAGTAGCTGTTAGGTAACAAGATCATTGTTACGGTGTGCTGAGATTTAGCTGTTATATAACGTTATTGGGAAGGCACTATAGTATAGCTTTCTATAAGACACTGAGAAGTTATCTTTCTCATAGCTACTCAAATCACATATATGTTTATGCCTGCTCTGCTGCTCTAAAGAGCGAGTATGTGTTTTTAGTGGGCCAATCTGAATTACAGGTTTCTAGCAGTGCTCCAAGCACTGTGTAGAATCCCTACTTCTTAGTAAAATAATTCGTAACTGGAGGAATGTGATCAGAAGGCGGTGGTCTTTTTTTTTTTTTTGCATTTAATGTCAGCTAATAAATTGATCTTTTTGTAATCACTCATCACTAGTATCATATTTAGTATTCTATATCTGTATTTAATATACAGGTAAGTGCAGGAGCATGGGGACCCAAGGAGATACCAGGTTTGCCAAGAATTCATCCGTTAGCCTTTTTGTAAAACTTTTTACATAGAACAGGTGCAATACCTGACAGGCATAAAATTGAGATCCGTTCCCTGCACAAGCTTTCCATCTACTCAAGGCAGTGAGTGAGACATGAAACGAACGGAGAGAAAAAGTAGCGTGTGCTGTAAAAGGTTTTTGGTAAGGGTAAGGAGTCTCTTACTTTAATTGTTTGTTTAATTTTTTCAAGGAAGGAGAAGGGGGTAGAGAGAACATCTCAGATGTTGGCCTGTTTTTTCTGGGATGTAAGTTTTAGTGGAATCTGAGCAAGCTAGGTCTGTGTGGGAGATATAAAGGAAGTTCCTCTTCCTTTCTAAATCTGAGGTCAAAGGAAACTTTGCTGCCTCCTTTAGGAGGCTTTGATGGCTTTATTTTCTTAAAACCTGTAGTGAATTTGTATCTGTGTTGCTAATTTGCGCCCTCCTGTGTGTTCAAATGGAACATGGTCTGTTCTTATGTAATGATCTTCCAACACCATTCCGAAATATTGCAAGTGCATTAAAAGTCTGTCCTGGAAAATGCCAGAAATGCCAAGTGTTGGTAAGTCCTGCTGAGTGGGGTTTTTTTGTTTTGTTTTCTTTACTGTTCAATATGACTTGTTAAACTGTTACATAATTATACATCTCCAGGTTAAAAGCAGAACCTGATGGATGGCAAAAGCTGCTGTAACTTCATGGACAAGTTGTCCATCTGTAGTGACACTCAGCGCATACAGCTGGCAAGGTCTTTCTGTGCAGACCCCGTGGTCAAATTTCATGTGTACCCAGAAACAGCAAACCAGGTCACTTGCTCTGAAGATTTGTCATTCCTTCCTTTCATGTCGGAGCATCTCATCACAGAAAATTTCTACAGCGAGTCCTGCACCTTTCCCTATCAACTGCCTCGTTCCAATTACAGCAGAAGTGAGTACTCCTACGGACCAGCTTTCATCAGAAAGAGGAATGAAAGGGAAAGACAGAGAGTGAAATGTGTCAATGAAGGATACGCCAAACTGAGGCATCACCTACCTGAGGAATACTTAGAGAAACGGCTCAGCAAAGTAGAGACACTCCGTGCTGCCATAAAATACATTAGCCACCTACAGTCTGTTCTGTACAGCGAATCTGCGATGCCAGAAAAAAAGATCATGGAACCAAGCCAAGCACCTAAAGCAACTAACAAACAAAACCAGTTTTTGAAGACTATCTAAACTCTTCCAAACCAAGCAAAAGTTATCCTGTCTAGGAACCTAATAACCACTATATTATTAATGGCGTGCTTTTCTTGGTGCATTTGAGGAGCAGATCATATCACACATCAGTATTTAACCCAAAGAAAAGAGTTTTAATTTCACAAATAGAAGCTACAGTTAGCTATGAAAAAGGCAACTAGCGAAATAGCATCTGAGTGGCTTAAACTAATTCATGGAAATTGGAAAGCATGTCTAAAATTGCTACCAAACCAATAATGCATACCTGTACAAGGAAAGTAACTATATACCATCACACCCTGCATGCTTTTAAATAAAATGCGAGTTTTCCACTGGTTGGGACTGAAGTCCTTTTATTTTCAGTCATGTTATTGGTTTACTCCTGCATGCACTTTGTTAAAAGATTTTTGTTTTAATTGGCAATGTTTTTCCTACAAAACAAGGAGGACTTTTAAAAAGTCCTTAGGAATGTTGTGAGAAACGAACAGAAAGGATAAATTGGTTTGGGGGTGGGGGGAGAGGAGGAGAGCAACTTGCCAAAGCATAGTTACAAGCTTAGGAAGAGCATAATGTCTTGCAAGTGCAATTCTATCCTTTTCTTGTTAACCAATACTCTTATTCATCAAAAACTGTTGGCTTGTCCTAATTTCTATTGAAAACCAGATTCTTCTTCAGTTTGTGAGTGTGCTTACAAGTTACTAGAACTGCTCAGACAATACAGTGTGTGAAGAGGGTTAGCAAGAGCAGGTCTTGGAAAAATTGTATCCTACAACAGAAATTCTTCAGCACTTTCACTGATAACGGTTGAGGTCTGGTATGGTCTTTTTTCCCCTCCTAATCTGTTTCTTTTTGCTATCTACTGACAGTTTTGGCCCAGCGATCTAGAGCAGGTTTATGTGAAAGTGATTAAGAGTTTAGCTCATAACTTGCAGCTGGCAGCATGAGAGGGGTTAATGGGTGGGTGCAGCAGAATGTAGAGAAAATGGTGACAGACTTCTGCCTGTCTATCCTTGTCCCTAAATGCAACCAGTCATCTCCTCTGTTGTGTTGCTTTTATGGGAGTGAATTGAAAAATACCCACAAAATGCAATTAATCCCACTCACACACACAAAAAAAAAAAAAAAAAGAAAAAAAAACCACTATCCTTTATCAAGGAAGAAAGGGAGATTAGAGATCACAGCAGCGATCGACAGGAAGATTCCTGCATGATGTTCTGTCATTTTTTGATATTCACCTTGAAGAAAAAGGGGATAATTCATGGATCCTTTCCTGTTATTATGAAAAGGGAAAGTTCATAAAATGATTTGACCCCCAGTTTGTCTCAGCTTCAACCCTTCTGTCCACTTTATAAACCAATATATTTGTAACATCCCATGGTATTTTTTTTTAACTGAATCACAGTTTCATATAATGTTATTTTGCCCATGCAAAAAATGTTAGAGGGCACTATACCCTCTCATAATCCATTCTCTGCCCTCAGACTTTAGTGGAATATCTGGATCAGCAGAATTGTATTTGAGAGTTTAAAACTGTGTAGGTAAGTGGTAGACGAATGGTCACCTCTGTAGTTGTGTCCCGCTAGTTTTTAGCCAGTAAGATCAACACGTCAGTTCCTGTTAGTGATGACTATGGCAACCTCCTTAGTAACTAGGGAACAGTAGCAGCAAATGGTTTCTTGCATCAAAAAGGGAAAAGGGCAAGACTTCTGCATCTGGACTGCGTCCAAAGTAACAAGATTTAGCGTTATCAATAGCTGGTAAGTTCAAAATATTGCTGTGTTTAAGGGCTTGGAGCTATCCAGAAAAACCTCATAAAGTGTTACAGATTGTCTTTGTCACTGCCCAATGTTATACATAAATAAGGGGACCTGGCTCTCCTCAGCAGTTACAGCACTGAAAAGGCTTGAAGATGGGCTTAAATTAAACAATGCTTGCATTTCTTGGGAAAGCATTACTGATTCCAGCTTGTTTTGTTTAGTAGCGTGGGAGTTTGGGTAGCTGTGAAATAAGTGAGCATGTTGCAATGATTTCCTCATTTAAAGACACGTTTTACAGCATTTAATCTACTCTTAGTTCTTGCTGGGTTTGGTGCATTAATTTTTTTGGAGGTTATATATAACAAGGGCATGTAGAAACTGAGAAAAAGTGCTCCTAGTTCATATCTCTTTGTTATCTAAGAAACAATAATATTCAAAGCTAAACGTTTTCAGAAGTGCCTTATATGAGAGGTTAAACTGTATTTTTTTAATTAGGCACTTCAAATTTGTATCTCATTGGGTTTCCATTGCAAATTTTACCGTAAGCATGCTAAACATCTCTAGGCAATATAAAAAACTGAGATGGAACCTTGTCTACTAAATTTTTTCAGATTACCAGAGATAGCATCACATCATGAACCTCACTGTGACAGGCTCTGAATAGTTACCACTTGTCAAATCTGAGCGTCTCTTTCTTTCTCATGGCAAGCTATAATCTTGCTGTTATAAAACGTGACAGGACAGCTTGAAGATCAAAATATTTCTTCTTAATGCATCACTATAAATAACACAAGTAACAGGCAACTGTAGTCTAACTTTACATTCAAAAACTGTCATGTTTACTCAGCTATGTCAACTCCAGCTGCAGTTGTTGTCATAGCTTGTAAAATAGGGAAGGTTTGACTGGGACAGCGTAGAAAGAAACTTTTAAGGAGAATGTAGGTGTAAGAAGAGAGAGCTGAATGTTACAGAAGTAAACAGAAGTTGGAGGAAGGAAAGAGCGTTGTTCTTCTGGAGCTTTTCATAGCATTTCTAGTTTTTTGGGGTGTTTTTGTCACTTTACCATGTAGGTGGTTGAGAGACTGAAGATCACTGACATTGATGATATGGGTTCATCTGAGCAAATTCCAGTCTGGATGTTTTGCATTCTTTCTTTTCACTGCAAACACGCAATTAATAAAAGTTGTTGAGTCTTTAGGTGCACTGGAAAGCATTTGCTTGTGCTGGAAAATGCTGATGTGTTGTCCGTGTTCTCAAGTACCAATAGATCATGATTTAGTTTTGCAGGTAGCTGCTCCTGCAGGAATGGCTCGTTCAAAGGGATTTCTGCCTACAAATCACAAGTATTGCAGTGCGATGACAGCTCTGGACAAATTCTCATGCTACGGTGTCATATCTACTGTCAACCCCTGCTGCAGGAACTCTTTGGCAGTGCATCCTCCCTGGATCACCATGCCCCTCACCCCCTGGAGGTAAAATTAAGTTCCTATTTGGATCCGGGATTTGTTCCTTTTCATGATATCTAATAGGATAAAACAGACTGGAATGTGTCAGGTTAATAAAACCTGATCACCGTTTCTCCCCTTCTACTCAGCAGTTCTTTAGATGATCTTGACTAAAATGATTTGCTACCCTGGGGATTATGAAAAGCAAAGCCTGGAGTGAGCCTACTATCAAAGAAATGTGCCTTTATGTTATTCAGATAAATAAAAGCATCTTACGTAAGCAGCTATCTTCTGTGAAATGGTTCCAGTGCTTTGTGCCAGGGAATTTTCTTTGTTTTGAACCTGAACCTGTCGTCACCTGTCATCAACTGTCAGCAGCTTTGTTTTTTTACTTTTCTACTTTTCTCATGTTCCCTGAATGAAGTGCCCTGGATTAAACTGTCAGCCATAGTGCTCAGATGCATCTAAGTTGTGCTCTGTGCTGCAGACATATCCTTTCTCTCTCCTGCTCTTAAAGGCCCCTTCGGCTTGCCGTATAAATTGCAAAGCAGCTAGTGTAGGTTCTGCTAGCCCAGGGTTCCAGCATCTTCCTAGCACAGTTCCTCTAAACCCCAAGGCTAAGAGGTCTGCAAAAACAGGCACTGGTGGGTTTTTTTTCCAAGAGCAAGGAATTTCCCTGGCACAATTAAGTTTTCTATTTCTTTCTACTTGCTTTGGCCTGTGGAACTACTACAAAATCAGGCACAGTGATCCCATTCTCAAAGATTATAAGATGTCTTCAGTTGACCTATAGAAGCTGTTTTCACTCAGAGCTGACCCATTTTCTTTTCTTCAAGGTGCCAATGGATTAGCTGCTGCCCCCTTTCCCCTGATGCAGTGTGGAAGAAGCTGAGTGTATCAGAGAGATTGGCTGGCTTAGCTAGGAACGCCCCTGTTCTGGTGCGAGGGGAACACGATGGATTTTATTACCGTGGTACAGTAAAAGAGGAGCTAGAGGTGAGTGACTGTTGCTCTGCGTGGTCATGTAGGTATTTGTAATACAGTGTGTGTAGTGGGAGGCAGATCGATTCGTCGGAGGACACAAGTGGGTCACCCAGTGAGCTCCATCAGAAGAGCTGGGTAAAATTCACTAAGAGTACGTGGTCCCCCTTGTTAACGCTCACTGCATCTTTGAGTGCTAGAGAAGACTGAGCTTGGTGGACATAGCCCACCAGCAGTCACAGGAGCTATTAGAAACTCTTTACACATCGTCTGGGGTTCAGCTGCTGCATAAATTAGAGAACAAATTGCAAGGGCAGCTTCTGTTCAGCATCATGTTGATTCAGGGCATTAAAAACCCCATAAAGGGGCTCCTAGTGTGCCTGATTCCAAGCTGTCCTTGCCCGCTGCTTAGCAGCATGCTGTGTGAGCCTGTTAGTACAGCACAGCCTCTGACGTCAGTATGTTGGTGATGTTCAGCTCCCTGCTCTGCTCAGCCTCCTTTCCTGACTGCCTTCTTGTGGGTTGGGAGGCTCACGTCAGGGATCGTTAGCTGGTGCAGAAACTGGGGGCCTGCCCACCTTTGTACAAAGAAAAGCAGCTATTTGTGCCAGAGGGGCTGCTAAATCTCTCTTGTTTAAGAGGCAACAAGTATGTTGCTGTTTCTGGTTTAGAGACTTCATAAAGATCTCGCATGCTTTCATCAGGCTGGGATATTGTGACTGTTGTGCCCCTTGTTGGGATTCTTTGTCCGTCATGCTACTTTAATTCAGAGTGGATATTAAGTGTTGGGTGCACTGCTGCTCTCCTCCACACCTCCTGAGCTCAACTCAGAGACCTTTGCTTTTAAACCTAAGGTTTATTGCCACCAATTGTTTGTTTTGGGGAAGCTAGTCTTTTGCCTCTCTTGAACCTAACCTGTGAGTGTCCCCAAACTCTCAGTTCCTGGTGACAGCTGCATTGCTGTGCACTTTGCAAGGACAGGCCATCTGTTTCTGTTGGTGCAGGGCATTGAGCCAGATTCAGCCAGTGTTAGCACTGTTGTGAACAGTATACCAGCGACTGTTGTGTATAGACACATAACTATCAATAGCAAGGAAAAAGTGTCAGTGTATTATGTATACACTTCCAGCTTGAGTCAGCTACAGACCAATGGCATGGTGTCTTTTTTGGAGATGTTAGTGAAAGCTTTAATTCATTAGTTTGTTAGCACTTCAAACTTAACAGAAAAAAGAGCCTATTCTTTCCTGAGAACAGGGCAGTGCTTTGTTTCACTGTTGATGGAAAGCGTCTTGACAGGCCTTAACTTCAATTCCTCAGAGAAGCAGTGAGTTAACATTGTATGTAATGAGGAAGGACTCGGGCATGACTAAAGAACAGGTTCGAACAGGTTCAATGTCCGCTGTTCTGTGGTGCATACAGTGTGGTTTGTGAAATCCAATTGTACTCATCTAGTAGCATTTTCTTTTGGGGAAGAAAGTACAGATCCTGGCTCTAGTGAATCTATAAACCTGCTTATATTTACGCTCCATCTGCTATCCCGTGAGCATCCTAGAGTTCTCTCTGGCTGCCTCGATTCAGGACTAACACCACGTGCTGTTTAGTTGATGTTTAGGCTGGCTTGGTGCTCTGACTCAGCCTAAAAAGCCACAGAATGGTTTTCTAATGAAGTGTTTTTCAGAGGAGCTCTTATTTTGTTCCTGGTAACAGAGTGAAAGAGGAATGTTCTTGATAGAGTTCGCCAAACCACTTGTGGCACACGGAAAGTGTCCAGTATGTGTGCAGAAAACAATCAAGGATGATATTTTGGAGTACGTGAATGGTATGAAGCACTCCTTACTCCCTGGAGATAAAGTGCTGGCACCCTGGGAACCAGATATGGTGAGGTATGGCCCAGGAACCGTCCTCACGGGCATTGAGACACGGGATCCCTCACGAGGTAAGGAAAACACTGACCTGTTCTTGCTTGCCTTGCTCAGGAACATGAGTGAGAGTGTCAGAATAAAAACAGTGGTGGTGCTGAAGCACCAGTGAGCAGTCCGTGGTTTGTTGTTTAAAGCTTCCAGGAGCTAATGTAACTTGCTAATGGATACCTGCATGTAACCTCGCTAAGGAAGCTGTGACCTATAAAAACGTCACCTTCGTCTCCACTGATCTATTATTTCCTGTCTGCTCGAACAAGGGTGGGTCTGTTGTGTGAAGGACGACTGCCTTTTCCTGAGGGATCTGAATGCAGCAGCTCTCAGGAGGCATCCGTCTGTGCTGGAATGCCTGTGTTTTACTTAATGATACACACCGGGGTGATGTTGTCACCCAAGCATGTGATTTCAACAGCTTGTTCATTTTCCTGTCTTTGACAGTCAGGCTCTGCTGACTTATCAAAATACTGGTAAAATGTTCTCTGAGTGTTGCTGCTAACTTGGGCAGCAACAAGAAAAATTATTCAGTCAGCGTTTACTTGCTTATTTGACAAAAAATTGGGAGGAAAGATGCTGCCAGGCCTATTGTCATGCTGACAGTGCCCTAGCTGCCACTCCATCTTCCATGACATCGTGATGAGGTGTTGCAGAGTGAGGGGGGATAGTTGACCCCACTGCTGACAGGAGTAGAAAATATGTGTAAAGCTGCAAAGCCTGTATGTGTGTGTGCCAAAGGCAGACCAGCTGCTTACAGCTGCTTACTTTTCTCTCAACAGCCTCAGAAGATGAAGAAATTATGGTCCACTTCTGGAATGGCAAGAAAGTGAAGGTTCCACTAGGTGCGGCTCTTTGGATCCCTCCTAGCCTGTGGGAGAGGATTGTAGAGATGATCCACATGCCCTTCACCAGCAGATTAAAGCCCAGAGAAAATCCTGACACTGATTCTTGTATTTTTTCCTACAGTCACGTAACAGTCCCAATTCCTTTTTGTGCTGTAGATAGCCTGGCTAAGCATGGCTTGCTTTGCTGGCCACGTTTCCACTGTCACTGTGATGGTATATGCTGCTCATCAATACATGCAAGAAGCATCTGCTGCTGCCATCTCCATACTGATGCCTGGTGGCCTCTTCCAGCCCGGTCTCCGGTCCTTCAGAGAGAAATGGAAGAGGCAGAGCCCAGCAGCAAACCCTCTTCATGCCTTCTAGACTTGAAAGGTCTAAAACAAGAAGGAGCAGCAGCAGCTGCTGCATCTTCCCCCTCTTCTGATTCAGAGCGTGATCTGGAGGCATTTGCCACTAAAAGCACTATGACGGACAGTGCTGTTAACACAGACTCCAGTCTTCTTGGGAAGCCCAAGGTAAAGGAGTCTGCAAGACCAAAGTGGAAATACTGGAAAAGGAGCCACCACAAGTCGCACCCCAGTAATTCAGGTACCTTCAAACAAACAAAAAATCTCATAGAGAAGAAGCAACCAGAGGGAGATAACCAGTGTGTTCTGGTGCCCCCTTCAGCTGGGCAGTCACATAGCCTGTAGTTCACTGGATAGATATTACAAACTTGCATATCAGCCTCCGATACAATATATTCCCCTCCCTAACATTTCTCCTGCATGCTAGCTCTTCTTTTGGTAACTTATCCAATAGAAAACTACCAGAAAAATGAATCATATTTGGAAGCATAGATAGACCACTCTGAGTTCCTTCCCCATCATCTTCCCATACTTTTTACGGTGCTAACTTCCTCATTAACCTTCACAGCTAGCCTATGCAGAATAAATCACTTGAAAAAATTCCTTTCAGACTTAAAGTGCATTTTCTTCTCTTCTTAAATGAATGTTTCTCAACTACAGTTCAGGTTTTATTCTTCATAAGGCTTAGATATATATAATTTCACTCCCTCCAGGAATCAGCCCTCACAGCAGCTCATATACAAAGGGCCAGCTGGAATCCAAAGCCACCAGTGTTGTGGACCGGTCCTGTGTTACCCCAGCTAATCAGAGTGCTATGTTTGAAATCATTGAGCAGCCTCCCAGAGGGCAACTCACAGTGAAAGAAATCTTAACCTACCAGGATTTCAAGCCATCATCAACAGTAGGGTAATCTGTATTAATACTGTATTTACTTACGCATTTCATTTGTTTGAATGGAAGAAATATTCTTGTTAATGGTCTGGGGCTTAGCCGGAAAAATACATTGCCCCAAGTCTATTGTCTGCTAAAGCCATCCACCAAACCTGTGATGGGGAGGGAACTCCTCTACTACTACTAGAAAACAAAAACAAATAAACAAACAAAAAAGCCCACCTGTAGGAGCATCCAACAAACACTGTACCTTCAGAAACCAGCCAAACGATCATTGACATCAACCCTGTTAAGCCCTGCGGGAAGTGGGGACTCCTGCCTAAGTGGCCCTAAAAACGGACAGCTCTGACCTTCAGCAGCAATAAAACACAACAGAAGAAAACTATTGTGCCATAACGCCTAGATTGAGTCTGGAAGGGTGCTGGGCTCTGTTAGTCAAGCTCTGATGGTCATGGCCTCTCTTTCTGAAAGATAAAAATACCTAGCAAACAGTTCTTACCGAGTATCTTCTCTTCCTCCCTGACCAGAGGCAGGCAAACAGGAGACTGCTACTTTAAAGGTAGGAGATACAGAATAAACAAACTGTATCAGAGCTAACAACAAGGACCAACACCCTGTTTTTTAGGCTTTATTCCTTTCAGCCAAAGGCCCCTCCTGTTCTAGAAAAACTTGAAAAAAAAATCTATTAGAGACTGCATGCCAAACAAAAGCATGCACTGAACAAAGGAAGAAAAAGCTAGCAGGAAGAAGGGGAACATGAAGAGAATGGCAAGCTGAACAGAAACACTGCTCTGCACAAGAGCACCACAGGTACAACAAATTATATATTATAAATCATGTATTAGCTCCTCTGTACCTTCATTTTCTTGCTACTGCGAGCTGACTAGAGAGTAAAACTTTGAATTTGCTAATCTTGCATGATTTTTCTTCAGGAAACGATTAATCTGCTAATGGCATGACTTAGTGAACAGAGAATATACTGGAATATCTGCTCTACTCTCACAATTATACATGTTAATTTTAAGCTGAATCCTACAAACTTATCAATTGTATGTTTCCTATTTTATTATTTAAATGATCATAATATATGCATGTTATACGCTTCTTGTAACTGATTTACCTTTTCTAGGAACTTGCAATTTTTATGTCAGTTTGGAATTCCAGACAAACATCCTGTATGTTAACAGGTGTCATAGCTGTGCACTGAAGTGACATGCCTTTCGCCTGCAGTAACACCAAAAATAAACCAGAGTGTCTTCATTCTAGCCCAAACCTGCAGCGTGAATCATGATAACGGACAAAACATCTCCATACAGTAAGAGGACATACCTTAAAAACAGTAAAGGCTATTTAACGGGAAAGAAAAGTATATTAAAATCTAGGTTACATAGCTATCCCTTGAGATAGCTGAAACAGTTTTGTCTTGAATGCAAACTGCAGCCACAGCAACTTTATTATCTTTTGAAAATATGTAACACAACACTTGTAACAAACGTGAGGTAGGAGAGCAGGCTTTTCACAAGTGCTGCTGGGCTAATGTCCTCCCACTGTAGTCAACAAAAAACTCCCACTAACTTTCACAGGAGCAAAGTTTAGTCAAAGCCCAACAGCTTCTGAAAATCCTATGGTCTTACCATAACATACTTGTGTTTCAGCAGAATAATTTGTACTAGTACAGAAATTATGCCGTTATTAAAAATGATACAAGGCAGATGAACCTATTTTACAGCCAGGAAAGTGGAAGTTAGACACTAATGCTTTTTTTTTTTTTTAAGGATAGACTTTTGGAAAATTTGTTTCCTGTCCTCCAGGAACAGGAGGACAAAAGAGCAAAGAGCTCACGCGCTACAAAGCAGAGAGAGACATGATCCATGAGAATTTAATAAATGTACAGCTGATGAAGTTAAGGAGTTGAAATTTCACTGAAAGCTTGAACAGATGCATAGTAAGCATCTAATAACCCTCCAATTTGTTTGGAGTGCTCTGGAGTCAGCCAGAGGAATTCAGCATGGTAATTTCTTTTTGTAGAAGCCAGAAGGAACAGAGAAACAATACAAGCTGATAGCGGAAAGTACTTTCAAGATTAGAAACAAGAGAGGAATGTAACCAGAAGGTAAAGGACATGCTACTGTGGATAGGAAACACCAAAATGCTCAGAGTGAGAACTCAAGGCACAGAATTTTATTTCCTTGTCAAAGTTAACATTAGCTAAGAGTATAGATGTACAGATCATGTGACTTATTCTAACTGTAGCATCTGATTCTTCAGCAGACATAAGCATCCAGTGAGTCTCATTAGTGGGACTGTGCATGTTTTTAAAGCATATTAACTCAGAAATAAGTTGCAGCATGCAGTTGCTCAGCAGTACTTCCCTCTGCAGGAAAGGTGAGGCAACTCAGGTGGGTACCTCACCTCCTACTGAAAAAGGGCAACTAACTAATGTTTAGTCTAGGCAAGAGCCTGCATAGAGGTTGGTCTTGAGTAGGTTGCCTGGCAATAGTTTGTGCCTATGCTGAACATTTGACAAATATTTAAGCACCTTCTTGAGTTGGGGTCCTAGATAATGAACTTCATTGGCATTTTCTTTCCTTAAGAGAATAATTGAAGCAGAGAGATGTGGTACACTGTGAGCCAGATCCTCAGCTGTGCCAGTCTGCAGAAGCTCATGCACATCTGCATTCATACTGCAGGGATTTTGCTCTCTGTGTTCAAGAACATGCCATAGACTTTATCTGAGGATGATACAAAAGAAGTGGTTATCACAATTCAGTCTTTGTGTTTTACTCCATTGATTGCACCTTTAATTGGAATTATACAGTCACATAATTGGAAATAAGGCACACAGTGTACAAATATTTATAAAATCAATGTACAAAGTGGGCTGTATATAATATATATATTTGCACTAAGTATAAGACAAATATACAAGCCATAAAATGCAGGCCCAACGTAGAGAATACTGTTAAAGTGCTAAAAGAGTAAAAGGAATGCATAGTTCATTATATGCATTAAAAAGCCTAGTATTTTATTCCCATGATTGCCAAGAAACAACAAACATCATAGAACAAAAGTTAAATCAACGCTTTGTCCTGCACTGACATCCACCACATGGGTTTGTTTCACCATGTCCTCTGAGGTTGCTGTGACAGAATAGGTGCCAGGAGAAACTTCAATGTAGATGTCTTTGGAAGCCTTCCTGGTCTTTAAGGAAAAAAGTAAGAGTTTCATTACAGATTAGTGATCTTAAATTTCCCCCAAAACAGACATTTTGAATTTTGAGTAGAAAACTTACATTTCAACTGCTATATGAACATATTACTTGAAAGATTTTTCAAAATATACAGGGAGCAGGGCAGTAATTATAAAATGTTTCTATCCAATAGGAAAATTAGCAAGTGCCATATTCAAAGACTTTCATTTAATATTTTTAACAATGATGATAACCAACCTGTGTTAACTTGACTCACAAAACAGAAACTTGTCAAAATAAACATTTCTGAACATAAACCTGGAAAACATCCATACAGCAAAGTACTTGTATTAATCTGTACGGTGGTATAGATTCCATGTTTCTCATCTTTTGCAGCTTAGATGTTCCTAAAATTTATTCAGTGAGTTGTTAGCCTTTGAAAAATAAAAAGGTTTTCCTCTCCTTTGAGGAAAGAGGAGTCTTCAGAGAGACTGCACCAGGGCCAAGCATAACTGGCTAACTAACTACTGCATGCCTTTGTTGCATGCCTTTTTTCAGCATAGGAAATACATCAGGAACACAAACGAGGCTGGAGGACTACTAGATTATTGTTGTTGAGGCAAATTGGAGGAGCGGAAAGATCATTCGCTCTGCTTGACATTCAGTAACAATCCAAAATATAAAGTAGTCTCTTAGTTAATTATGTGCCAGAATGTTTATCTGGTTTGTAATTGTGTAAGTCTCTAGATGCAAATTCTACTGTTCACCTATACGCTAGGACTGTGAATGCATCAATTACAACACTGATGTATCTTCTGTGCCATTACAAAATCTCTATGCCTGATCATAAATTTTAAACTACAGTTTGACGCAAAATGATAAGGAAATGCTATATCTCAATTTACAATTTAAAATCAAACTATCTATAAACTTACATGTTGTTGGCAAGTTTTAGGTTGCCTGGACGCTACAGAGGCTGCATTTTTCTGGAAAGAAAAAGATACTGTTTTCTGACCATACCACACAAATGGTATACTCAGCCCTTGAGAGAAGGGATGCTTTAAGTCTGTGAAACTTTCCCCTTCACATGAAGGCCAAAATGACACTGGTGCCACGAGGAGTTTACTTTACCCCTGCCACTAACAGGGAGGCTCACAGCACTGCAGGCTTTCATATGTCTTTGATGTCAGACTCCTTCTATTTAAAGGTAAATTTGTGTAAGCAAGTATCACAGACACTAGATGGACTAAATTGCGTCATGGGTAAGGGCTAAAAATAACCGTTGGGGGCAGGCGAGAGAGCACTTACCTTTTCTTCTGCAGCCTCCATCACTTTTTCACCTGCTTGCCTGCCGTGGTATCTGCAGATGTGCTTCATTTCATGCTCTTTGCATCTACAGGCTGGCACCAAGCTATAGTACTTCTGGACAGCAATCGGAAAGGAGAATATTATGTAGAGAAACATCTCAGCCATTCTCACGACAACTCCAGATCCACAACTACAAGGGAAACTACAGAGCTCCTGACCTGCTGCGTTAATCACCTGGTTTGTTCTCACCAGGAATAAAAATACACTCTGACGTCCACGAACACCTTCCTGTCAGCCCTGGTTTTAGACTCCTGTCTCCCTCCACAACACATGGGGGCTCTGACACCTCAGGATTTAGGTGCCAGAAATATCAGACAGTGACTGCTCTTTTGTCTGGAGCAAAATCAAAAGAACTGCTCTGGACACATCCCCCTGCTCAGGCCCCTCAGGCAAAGCAGGCGGGAGAAGGCACAGCCTGTGGGCCCTAACAGGATGTAGAGGCGAGCTAAGCGCTTTGCAGCAAGCTATGCGCTTTGCAGCTTGGCCAGTGAGGACAGGTTCTCCACATGCAAAAGCAGCACTCTAAAAGCAGATAAAAAGTTAATGCTGAAAAATTAGTTGGTGAAGAAGCTAAAGGCTTCAAGGCTGGTACCAGGTAGCACGGTGCTTTTGAGAACTGCATCTCACTCCGCAGAAGTCCTGGCTCTGCAGCAAAGGTACCTGAATTTTCTCCCCTCCCCGCTGCAAATGAAATACTTGAGTACAGCTCTGCTGCCATCTGCTGATGCCACACAGCTCTCCACAGGGTTACCTTGTTGATCAGAGGAACCAAAAAGTTCCCAAATACATATTCCATTTCATTTGTATTTTCCTTCTGTCTGACTGCCAAGACTAAACATAACACAAATAAGGCTGACAGCAATTCTTATTTCCAAACCTATTGCTCTACTTTATTCCTTGAGTTTATGCATGTGTCAACAGACTTGGTTGTGAGTATTGTGGTTTGTTGTGTCGCTATGCCCCAAAATACCTCAGATACTCCGACCTGTTGGATAACGCTTCACAGAGAAGCGCTCTGTCACAGGAGGTGAGCTGGATTCTTTTACATGATGACACGGAGCAAAAATGAAATCAAGCTTTAGCTAGTTGTATCAATATCAAAAGCATCTTTTTATAAGAAATGTGGATAAACTTTTGTTCCTAAGTGTTTCCAAAGAACTCATCCTAAAACATACAACTTTAATCGTTTGCCTTCAGTGGCATTCAGGTGTCTAGATGATTATGTTCTGCTGTAGATTTTTAATTTACCTTTGTAAACTATCTAAGAACTTAACTCCCTCCACCCTTTTATAACGCTTTCTTCTTCTCTAAAGATGATGTCAGAAGCAGTACTGTCTAGGCCTAAGCAAGAATTTGGGAGTCAAACACCTCTAATTCTAACTCTATTATGGATTCTTAACAGGGCATAAGATGAGTCTCTAAACATTGCTGTATTTCTATTTCATCTTATGTAAAACTCTGTTCTGCTAGTTTAGGATTAACTAGTTAACTATTTATGTAGCGCCTTGAAACGATAAAGGTGTTACTTTAGAGCTAGTCATCTGGTAAATGTTGAACTACTGTTTTCCGTAATTGAAGGCTTAGCCTCTGTTATTAACTCTGCAGATAACAAGCTCCCTGCTGCATAACGATAGCAAACCCCGAAGGGCATAGATGGTGTAAATTGTTATGGAGTTTTTAAGAGATTTTAATCCCATAGTCACGCTGCAGGGTTTTATTCTCAAGGAAGAACGGGCAGGGACCAATTCCCAGTTCCAGTGTCCCCAGAATGACATGATATTCAATGACATTCAGCCAGCCTGGCTGTCAAATTACAGTTTCACAGTGAGTACGCTCCAACGTGGAAAGAGCGGAGCTGTGGTTCTGTGTGTCTCACCTCTTGGTTTCTACTAATCACACATGGAGATACAGTCCTGTTCAAAAGAACCGAGCCCATACTCTTTATCCAGTAGAAACATCCCAAATCAAAAAAGTAATTTGCTTAAGCAATAAAAGAAACGCGAGCTTCAGCCAGGACGGGTGTCAAAGGGGGAGGTTAACCCTAAATCCAGAGGGAACGTGAATGATAAAGAGCGAACTAAATGGTTTTTCCTGTGCTGCAGACTCAAACTTGCCCTTACACCCGCCAACTAGAGCTCGCCGAACGTAGCAGCCAGCATTACCTGTCGGTGCTGGCGCGAGGCGGGCAGAGGATTACTCGAAACCCCGCGCGCGGCAGAGATGCGGGGTGCCGTGGGCCCCCGGAGAGGACGCGGTGCAGCGCGACGCGCGGTCACGCCTGCGGAGGGGCAACGCGGTCACCGCGTTTGGGGCCGTCGTGCGAAGTTCCTGTCTCTCCCTCCAACCGCGCTCCCTTTCCCCCAAGTGGGGAGCCCCCCTGCTGAGCTCGCACTGCTCTGCTGGTACTATCCATGGAAAGCGCTGATGGGAGTGTTTGTCCCCCTCCGCTCGGAGCAGGTGAGGATCACGCCAGTCAAGAGGCAGCTGTCCACCCACGCAACCTACCTCAGCAGGGCAAAGCCCCCACGTTTCTTACTCCAGACCAGCGCCACAGGCTCTTACCACGCCATGAGCAAAACTGCCCCGAACTCTTAATTTTGTAGCGTTAGCAGAAGCTGGGCAAACAGGCCTCTAACGGGCCCAGCCCTGGCTCCGAGCCCTTACCTCGCACTGCCTTGTGGCTTGGCCCATGAACTCCACGAGCGTGGCCAACGCCGCGCC